CAAGCTATTTCAAACCAATCGGACATTGAATCATTTTCCGACAGTTAACTACGGGTACAATCATTCTCTACTCAATCCGGTCTCCGGTTGAATACTTTAATTTTTTTGAATGCATTTTTAGTCTTTCACGATCTGATTATCCCTCGAAATCCTCAGTCATCAACTCCGTGCCCGTCACCAGAACACATACCACCAAATACCTAGGAGTCACCATAGATAGCAATCTACAGTGGTCCTCTCATGTGCTTGCTTGTGTTGGTAGACTGCGTCGCTTATCTTTTCAAGTACGCAAGCTTCGTCAATTTTGCGTCAGACATGAAACTGTATGTTCCTTTGTTTATCAATGCATTTTTCCAGTTATACCTTATTCACCCGTTATTTTCCCTGAACTACTCAAAAAGGATTTCATTACTCTACTTCGAGGTCTGGTAATTATCAGCCGTGTTTCTCTTATTTCTTTAAACACTGATCACAAAATTGTGTAATTTGCATATCACTTCATGTGAGAACTTTGCTTAAAAGACATTCAATGACCCCAGTCATTCACTCATTCCTGATTTATCTGCTAGCCGTTCCCACTCTACAACCCGATCCAATGTTTGATGCTTACCCTCACGCATAGACATTTATCGCAACTCAACGGTTCCCTGTCTGGCTCATATTGTCACTGATACGGCGAAGATCTGTAACGAACTAATCTTAACTCTACAAAGTTGAACACCATGTAGTTTTATCATTGTTGTATACGAATTTTGTACCCATTTTTTATCCCATTGTAACGGCGATCACATTTTTGACTGAAATGTAGGTATAGTTGCCTGCACAAGTCATCTATGATGCAATCATATAACCTAAGCCCCGAACTTCTAAAGACATTAGGATAAGAGTGGTATTGATGGAAATGACAGCGTACCTGTTAAGTTGGGTGGAAGTTCGAATCTCGCTTCTCCGAGTCTCATGCACGCTATTGAGGGCGGACAAAACCACCACCACCACCAGATGCACAATCCATCACACTACGTTAAGATGAAGTCTCAGCGTGATGGTTTGACATTGCGTGCAACGGTAATGAGACGGAAAGAGTCACCGTTTCGTTTCTATGAATTTCATGTGTTGGAACTTCGTTACTCCACCTTCGGTTTTCTACTGAAACATATCCGGTGCAACCTCAAATTGACGGTTGTCTCTTTACTGACAACTTTATTTTTTCCATGAATTTTCCACAAGCAAAAAGGCCCCAAACAAAACGGCTGCCACGATTCTTGTACGCATGGAAAAGTTAAACGACACTACTGGGATTTGGGTGCACGATCTTCCAAGGATGAGTGGAATGATAATCTACATGATTGGATCACCTTTACTATTCGTGTTCATCATCATCATCGTTATCGCGTGATATAAGGGGAGCGAATCGTGTAATCAAAGAGGGAGAAAGATCAGTCGTCTTGTTGAATTCGTTCACCCAATAGACTTCAATGATCATACGGTTAAGGCTACCAGCTTGTCGCCCTGGTGTTCGGCTATTCCCACGCCATCCCCTATATCTCCCAATTTTCGGTGTATTCTGTTGGGTCGGCCATTCTCTCCTCGAAAAAATCATTAATTTGTTGTGGATTTATATCTTTTATACGAATAAAAAGTGAAATGGTTCGCCCACACGTGTTCGCACGGGTGCTGTTGTCTTCAATGTTTTTCGATTAGTTGGCTGCTTCGGATTCGGGTCCGGAGAATAATAGTCCCAATTTTCCGAGCAACAATCGGATCGCGAAAGGTTATAGAATTGCGCAAAACATGTGATTGCTTAGCTGGTTTTCAAATGATTCACCAGGGCACTTTAGCTGTCTATGCTAGGGAGAATAGGAATGGAACGATTGAACTCATTGCATTGCGTGCTCCGGTTAGGCTGTGATAGTCACATCCCGGGCTCGGGCAATGAACTTTGACCGACAATGCGTGTCTTTCAGGTTGATCTCATATTGTGTGTGTGCGCGCTTTTCTCGGCACTGGTCTGTGGCAATCAGCAGTCTCACAAGTGAGCTCATCTGTTTGCGTTTGGTGATGGTTTGATGAGGAAGATGTGAAGCCATCAATTATTTCTAATTATAATTCCTTGTGAAGTATCTTTTTTCGTTGTGAATAAAAACTGAAAAGAATTCAGTCTTAAAATCAACCGTAGGAAAGTTACACGTAGATAGGTAACCATGAAATAAAAAGAAAAACGAACAGTTTTGCTGAACGGGGGTAAATCTTTGAGATATTACATGCAGTTTAAACCGTCTATGGTTCATGCCCGGGCGTAGACAACAGGAAATCATCCGGTTTGATAACCATGCTCTCACATACTTATTTGTTTCGTCAATCGTCAATAAAATCAATATAATGAATAAAATTCGTCATTGCCGTATTTTGCATTTCACCTACGTCTGAGGCCGGAGTGTGTGCCAAATAAATCACGATACAATGATCTTTATAACAAAGAAGACCGTTCCATGTTTTGTTTGTGGGCAAAATACGGCCAGGCCAAGGCTAGTGTATTTTCCTAGAGAATTCACAGCCGCAGCCTTCAGCTAACCAAAGCTTGACTCGCAAAGCAGCGAGGCGGTGTGAAAACCGCAATCCATTGGGATCCGGTGTCCAGTTCATCGGCACATACACCCTTCGGGCGGGGTCGAACGTCCAAGGTGCCCGATTCACCTAGATGTCCAATTGCGTCAGTGACCAATACCACGACCAGGAAGGTATGGGTGTTTGTGTTTCATACGCCTTGTCCATGTTGGTCTGGAATCAGAGCTTTAGTTCACTCTTCGGTGAACTGCCAGTGGTTCACCAACCCGGTTGTAGCTCCAGGTATTGGCTTTTCGTTTTCTCACTTTAGTGGGAAAACACCTCCGCCACGAGAAGGCAATGAATAGGGCTTCCCCAGCATTTCGCGACAAACAGAGGAGGGTGACCAGCCACAACCCAAGACACACTCCGGACAATACTGAGGCTTTTGTCATTTTCTACTTTCCGAACATTCGCTTTTGCATTTGGTCCAGTAGTTTCAACCTATTATAATCCTATCAGGCGCTGTCTACATTTTTTGTAGCACGTAAGACAATCTTGATGAAGTGCTTATTCACCCACTTTACGTGCACATTTGATGTATTTGGAGTACATGTTCGCACATATTTTCACTTACCGTTTACAGTGTCAGTCGATATGTCGCTTAATAGGGGACCAAAATCTCAACAGATCGTATTTAGATGCAATGAGTTGATCCCAGAGTAGTACTACTGGCGATTGCTGCCGAACAGCATTATGCGTAATTTTCTGTTCGAACGATCGTTTCTCCCGAGCAAGAAGGTAACCAAAGACTTACCTTTGCATAGTCAAAACCCTTTGTGTGCGATCAGATTAGCATTCGGTTGATGCCCTAGTCTCTGTTAGTTTGACCTCTTCCCCTATTTCTCTCGAGAGTCGTTTATTTGACCGCAAGCCCCTTTTATTAATGTCAATTAAATGTTCGATAAATGCGAAATTGGGGTAACATATTGTTTATTCATGCGGTTTTCTATTTCTGGTCTGTCCAATTGTTTCGACTTTTGCCATTTTTCTCATGCTCGTTCAGATCTGCGATTTCGGTTTGGCTAGGATTGCAGATCCCGAATGTGATCAGTCAGGTGTTCTGACCGAATACGTTGCCACTCGATGGTATCGGGCCCCGGAAATCATGCTCACTTCCAAGATCTATACAAAAGCAATTGATATTTGGTCCATCGGTTGCATATTGGCCGAGATGTTGAGTAATCGTGTACTGTTCCCTGGGAAACATTGTATCCTTTTCAAAGAACCCAATCAACTAATTGTTTTTAGTTTTGAGAATTCGGATTCTGTTTTGTTTACGATTGCCGCAACAATTTGATTTTCTTTCTCTGCAACATGTATTAGGTGTGTAATGGCTTCGTAAGTTTACTCTTATTACCTGTAAAGCACTTTTTGATTTGGGTGATTGTCGGTTTTTTTTCAATATCCCACACGTACTACTAGTTTAGTATTCATAATCTTCCACACGGTTTAGCTAAAATTCGCTCGATTATTGTTTCCTGAGATTACTCCTTTTACAATACGGGATATACACGGGTAATTTTCCATGTCGAGAGATCCTTGGTAGCTCTCTCTCTTTCTCTCACGATAAAAACGTTATTTGTTCACCAGCTGGAAGAATCGTGTTTACGCCGGTTCTTTGCGAACTCATTCCAGCTAACAAATTATATCAGATGCCAGACAGTTTTTAATGACAAATTCTTATCTACTATATCCAGTAGAACGTGAGCTAAAACCTACCCAGTTGATTCTATTCCGTGCGACAATCGTTACACGTTTGAGCAGTTAACTGTGCGAGGGTTGAGTATTTTAGTACCGAAAAGTACGTGTTTATTTGTCCAACATGGTTAAACGTTTTGTTGGTTTTTGATAATGTTCGTACATCCGGTCGATTAACGACAGAAAAATAAATTTGCACTGTATTTTTCATGCAACTCCAGCGAAATTGCAAATTAATGGTCTCCATAACATCAGTAAATGGCGTTCGGATCTGTTTTCCGTGTGCCTCAAGCAAGCAGTTGACCACGCCAAACGGCAATTAACTATACTCCTAATTATATGACCACCACTTGTTTGTGTTTTAGACTTCTTCCTTTTTGAATTCACATCATTTACAGAGAGCTTTATACGCCTTGTACTCTGTATCCGGTCTTTCTGAATATTCTACGTTTTGTCCGTCCCAATTATACCTTATTATCTCAGACACCAACAGCTTTAAATTATCGATCTTTATTCACTTATTTCGATTGGTCACTGAAAAAGAATACTACTGACAACATGTCGCTCTCCTTACGACAAAACTCCGATTTCCAGATATTGATCAGTTGAATTTGATTCTCGAGGTTCTTGGTTCCCCTTGCAAAGAAGATCTGGAATCGATCAGTAATTACAAGGTGAGTTGACCTGTGTTTGTGATCGGTGAAGTTTAGGGTAGAACGATGCCTACGAAAATGCACGCATAGTGTATATGATCACACCCCACTCTCGGGATATCTCCGTCTGGGCTAGTACGTCAATACACTACGTACGTGCGTAAACATGCACATTCCCATCTCAGACCACCCACCCGCCCACTCTGTTTTTCGGAGCCTTGTGGCACTATAAAATTTTGATCTGTTCAATCTCATTCAAATACCGGGCCTAATTATTGTTCTCCACACATCTCCTTTTTGTCATGCCCGTATTATGTGAGCCCAATGGCTCTCCTTTTCTGCCCAGTATTCAGATCCGTAGAAGCAGGTGTCATCGTGTTTGGTCACCTTTTTCTCGTCTAAAGTGATTTGTTTTCATTTGTGTTTTCACTTTGATGGTGGCCTTGGCCAGGCAAATGAATTACTGACTGAACTGGTTGATAGTTTGATGCAAGCGTACCACATTTTGTGTGATGGTGAAGCTTCCATCGAGCCTATGTCTGTCACCGTCCTCTCTGTACTTGCACACTAATACTACTCCCAAAACCGTGTATGTGAAGGGGGATTGAAAGCTTCACACACACACACACACACACACACACAAATAGAAACAGTTTTATTTCAACAACCATCGTTCTACTACCGCAGGTTGCACAGCCGTATGTGCACGTCCGTTGTGTATAGCTCCGTCTAGCTTTCTACGAACCGAACGACACACTGTGATCCTCACCAAACAGCAACTCGGTTTCGATATCGATTCGATTATGGAATTTTTC